TTTCAGAACCATTTTGCTTTTAGTATGTTTATTATTAGTGTAGAAGTAGTAAAATGGGAAAGAGCCCCGCACACTTGCAGCTTCGATTGATTTGGAATCGCACAACACACTTAATTTTAATGCCTGATAACATTGTTAATTATCTCTTTTAAAAGCCAAAAAAGAGAAACTCAATTAACTTTCATTAAGTGCAATGTATTAGGGCCTAAAAGCTAATGAAAATAATATGGATTTTATAATTAATGAAGGCCCTGAGAATTTAGTTCTAATTCTGATTTTTTTTTTTTTTGCAAGACTGTTGCCATTACAAATGGCAATTTGACAAACACGGGTGGATGAAGAAATCAAGGAAGCAATGTCAGAAATACCAAGAAAATCTCATTCTGCTTGTAGAACCGAAATCGCTGACTAGGCTACTTTACGTGTATTACAGTCAACGTTTTTCTAATTTCACCTCTCTAACTTAGGCTTGTCTACACTGGCAAGTGACTAGCACTGAAACTCTCTTAATGGGGTGGGGGGGGGGGGGGTTAAAGCGCAGCAAATTTCAGTGCAGTAACTTGCCAATGAAACAGGCTGCCAGGACTAGGACTGCAGTCGTTGTATAAGTGGTTTTCCTAAAGCGTCAAGAGACCTCTCTCCCAACACTGGTACTATGTCGCATTAAAGTACTGGATGCTGCAAGTGTAGACAAAGCCAGACCTAGGGTCAACTTCAAAGGACTTTTGTTCGTGCCTCTAACTTACATGAGAAGTCAGGTACAGAGATTATTCAGTTCCCTTTTTTGTTTGCGTTACGTTCACTCTCTATATACACAAATAAAAACACTTGCTGAAAAATCACAAGGTAACACTACTTTTTTTCTTAGAATTCAGAACCATAAAAACACAAGCAGCAACAACACACACAAAGTAGGCTGTGTCCTAAGCCAGAGATGCATAATTCAACCCACCTGGCTCTTTACAGACTGACTGCTGAAAACCCAGACTGCATGTGCTCTCTTGCCTTCAACCAAGACCCGAAAACCCCTTAGCTCGTAATTTTAGCATTGCATTGGCGGCAGTATACACACCTAATATACGATTGTTCCTGCCCTGAAGATGTTACAATCTAAATACATAAGACTTAAGTGTGGAAGAATAAGTATTATTCACATTTTACAAAAGAAGAAGTGAAGAAGAGAGAGATAAAGGGTGTGTTTATATCACAGTTAAAAACTAGGCTGGCCCAGGCCAGCTGAATTAGACGCACAGGGCTTGTGCTATCTAACTGCAGGGCAGATGTTTCAACAGACTGATGCATAGACTTTAGGACCCTGCAAAGTGGGAAGGTCCCATTGCTACAAGTCCAACCTGATGGTCAATACTGAAATTAATCAGCCCCTTAGCCCATGCCCAATACAACTGGCATTGGCTACCTGTAAGTTTCTAACAGTGAGTGTGCCCTTGTAGCCAAGAAGGCTAATGGCATATTAGGTTGCATTAGGAGGAGCATTGCCAGCAAATCTAGAGAAATGATTATTCCCCTTTAATTCGGCTCTGGTGAGGCCACATCTGGAATACTATGTACAGTTCTGGGCCCCCCATTATAGATGTACAGTTCTGGGCCCCCCATTATAGAAAGGATGTGGACACACTGGAGAGGGTCCAGCGGAGGGCGACCAAAATGATTAGGGGGCTAGAGCACATGACCTATGAGGAGAGGCTGAAGGATTTGGGTTTGTTTAGTCTGCAGAAGAGAAGAGTGAGGGGGGATTTGATAGCAGCTTTCAACCTCCTGAAGGGAGGTTCCAAAGAGAGGCTGTTCTCAGTAGCAACAGATGGCAGAACAAGGAGCAAATGGGCTCAAGTTACAGTGGGAGAGGTCTAGGTTGGACATTAGTAAAAATTATTTCACTAGGAGGGTGGTGAAACACTGGAATGGGTTCCCTAGGGAAGTAGTGGAGTCTCCATCCCTAGAGGTGTTTAAGTCTCAGCTTGATAAAGCCCTGGATGGGTTGATCTAATTGGGATTGGTCCTGCTTTGAGCAGGGGTCTGGACTTCATGACCTCCTGAGGTCTCTTCCAGCCCTACAAGTCTATTATTCTAACAGCAGGGTAGACATATCCGAAATGACTAGTTTAGAGTCACACAAGAAATCTGTGGTAGACCTGGGAAATGAACCCAGATCTTCTGAATTCAGTTCCATGTCTTAAATCACAAGATCATCCTCCTTTTATCAGTTGCTGAACTTCAAGGCAGATGCATTCTATTTTAGGGGTACAGTGAAGACCCATCTAATTAAACCAATAATGAATAATTGTGGGTGTTTTTTAATGCAAGTAAAGAAAACGGAGGAAATTGTATCGATGCTAATGACAAATAGCACCTGATTTCCATGTTCAGCTCACTGACCAAAAATCATCAAGAAAACTGTACCTTGATACCTGCACCTTACTGACTTCTCTTGGTTTACCATGAATCGCACAATAAGCAGAGTAATACATCGAAGATACTGCAATCTTGAAGGGAAGATGTGGAAAAGCGGTCAAGTTGGGCCCAATTTTAGGACAAATCAATCCTGACAGCATCTCTTAAAACTCCCCCTGGAAATATACAAGGGTAGTTGCAAGCAACATTGTAATAATAAAGGATGAGTATGCTGAATTTGTGAACTGAGGTAATAGCAGGCCATCCTTAGAGCTCTCAAGTCACTACCTATACAGTATATAATTTTCTCCCCTATGACTAATTAAGTAGAAATGATTTCAAACAGAGTATTTGTTCTCATAACCCCACAGGTTCTACTTCCACTTAATCAAATGGAAGAATTGTTTCATAAGCAGCAAGTGAGAACTGCTAGAATGCCATGAGAGGCAGAAAACAGTTTTTTATCAAGGAAATTCTTTGACTCTACAAAGAGAAATGTTGTGCATCAATGTCAGGATTTTTTTCAGGTATATCAATTCCAGAGGTAAAGGCATTTCACAGAGGAGGTTGTATATTTTTATGTCTGATTTAGGATAAAACATATGGAAGTGCTACTGCATAAAGCGCAAGTTCTTTGAAATGACCCCAGTTAATGTTTCCAAAGCTTCCCGTATGTGATACTCGTCCGTCTGATCTCCCTCAGAGAAAACTTGAGGCGCTATACAACAGGGAATAAAAAACACCCTCTTAAAACGATACCACACCACTTACAATAGTAGATAAAACAGTTGGACGTAACACCTTTCATGACTATAACCAAAGAAAGATGAGGAAAAAATATCCCTCCCTCCCCTTGTTTATTTAGTGAGCTTAACAAGTGATTACATAGGAGTGAACAGTGAGCTGACTACACACAGTTTTGCCTATTTGTGAGAGTCTCACACAGAAATGACAGAGGAAAAAACATTTAAAAATGTAGGGGCACGAACTGTGACACCGCAGAAGCTGACCGTGATTCACTGACTGTTTTGCCCCACAGATGAATGAGAACCATGTAAATGTAAAGCAACTCTCAAAAAATCCACTTGAATCCAGGATTCCTAACTCTCAATTGCCTGCTTAACCATCAAATCCTAGCTTCTCCTCCCAGAGACAGCAACACAGGAGAAGACTCCTGATACACAGCCTTCCATGCCTGCCTAGCAAACAGTTATGACTGCGTTTTTGCTTGCAATTTTGTTCAAGAAAACCAGAGACAGCCCATCTAAAAAGCGATACCAAAAGTCATATTAGTGCTGTGAAGTCAAGGTCTCAAAAGCGAGGCAAAAGCAGTGTCAATGTAGTCTTGTACACCATCAGCTGCAGTTAATAATCTAACTATAGTATCAATATGCTCATTGAACAGGCAGCCGATTATTTGTTAAGGCCACCGAGCAGAGTTGACTTGAAATATCCAAAATAAATCCAAAGACCATGTCAGACACACATTCAATTTTTTGGCAGATACAATATCTTTAGAACGAAACCTAACCGTGCAGCACTTTCTCAGAGTCTCATGCAAGACGACCCTAGCTGATGTTGGAATGCACAAAACCACAGCTTTCACATCCATTTGGAGAACCCAGGGTATTTCTACATCTCAAAACAAAGACCCACCCCCCTCAACTGTCAGAACTAGGTCAACTGCGGGGTTCAGAATAGCGGCTTGGACATCACCACATGGCGCCAAGGCTTTGAAACATTGAAGGAGTTGGGACAAAGGGGATGCCTACACTGCAATTATGTACAGATGGCGGGCCCATGCCAGCTGATTTGGGCTATAGGATTGTTGAGCTGTGGTGAGAACATTTAGGCTCAGGCTGGAGTCTAGGATCTGAAACACAGCAAGGGTCCCAGAACCTGGGCTCCAGCCCAATCCTGAATGTCTACACTGGCATGGGTATTTAACTGCAGTGTAGACATTCTCTCGGAGCCTGAGTGTGAACATCTATACTACTATTCTTTGCCCCATACCACAAGACTTGGGCCTTGTCCATGCTTACCTGGAAGGTCAGATTAAGATACACAACCCCAGCTATGTTAATTACATAGCTGGCACGGACATACCTTAATTTGAGTTTCTGCATGGTCTCCAGAGTGGGAGGCCAACGGGAGCAAATGCTCCCCTTCAGCTTCCCAAACTCCTTGCGAGGAGCAGGAATACTGGCACTGACAGGGGCGCCCTCCGAGTTCGATTTTGTGGGTCTTTGCTAGACCTGCTAAATCAAACTCTAGAAAATCGATTGCAACAGCATCGATCTTCACCATATAGCAAAGACATGGCCCGGATCATTGACTCCCAACTCTGAGTTGCACTGCCACAGGCTTTTTCTTTTCTTCTTTGAAGGGGGAACGGAAGAGGATGAAGACATTCTCTCATTAAATCTGGTGATCTATACAAAAAGAGTACCATAAAAATTGGCCTTACCCCAAAAAAGCACAACATGGAATTTACTGATGCAATTTTAAAGTGACAGTCTGAAAAACATTTGCACTATCTTAGAGTAACCACTGATCCACTGTCTCAAACCAAAAGAATAAGGCTGTCCTACCTTGATGGAAGCAACATGAAGCACGGTTTCTCCTCTGTGATTCCTTTTGGTAACTGTGTTCCCACCAGGAGACTTCTTCAAAAGGGAAGGGCTGGGTGTCGTTTCCATCTGATGGGGAGTATTTGAAGTGAATGGGCTAGAGGGAGTTTTTGAAAGTGAAGGGCTATTTATTTGTTGAACTGCAGAGCATCTTGTCTTTGATAATGCGCCACCATTACGTTTATGTGCACGAGGGGAGATATGAACAGGAGTTCCAGGTTCAGTTACCTCAGGACTGCCACCACCCTGGCTGAGTGAGTGCATATCAGCATTCTGACCACTTCTTCTAAGTCTTTTAGAATGAGCTAAAGCGGAGGATGTAGACTGCTGCTGCCTTCCACGTTTTAACGAAGTAATTTCATTTTCTGATGGCAGAGATTTCTCTGTATTAATACCATTCACTTGTACAGAACAGGTGACCTTAACACTATCTATATCCTCTGCAGGTTTTACTTGCATAGCCCTTTCCAAGGGGGACTCTCTTCCATTCTTATGGCTGATTTCTGTTACAAACTCCTGCCCGATTGTCTCCTCCATATGCTTTGGCTCTGGACTGCCTAAAACTAATGATTGGCTGCAAAAGGTCACAGTCTTTCCTTTAGGTGCATTTTGGGTCTCCCCTTCAGTTCCACTGCCCTCTTGCTGCTTTGTCTTCTCTATGCCCCACACTTGGTTGAAGTCTGCTAGAATTTTTTTCTTCCGCTTTTTCCTTGATCTGTGAGGGGGTGGCATGGTCATCTTGGAAGATTTCTCTTGAGGAGAAGGAAAGAAGTCATATGTAGACGATGGGCCCTGTTGAGAACTATCATCAATCACCAGTTGATTCTGCTTCTGAGAGGAACTATTGTTTAGGACACATCTGATCTTCCTGCTGCGTGGGCTGAGCCACATTTTTATCTGCCTCTTCTTGCTTCTTGATTCATGATCAGGAACTACTGATGTGAACAAGTCATCTGCAGAATCTGGAGGGGGAGAGATTTTTTTTTTTTAAAATGAGCTCTGAGGTCAAGATCAGCCCTTTAACCTTCTACGAATAGAGCTGTAAATCAACATTTTGAATGCTAAAAACAGAAGCCTTTATGAAACAGATATGTGTATTACTTCTACTTCAGTATATTAACATTATGGCTGGAAAGTTGTCATCGCCATATATTCTAGATTTCATATTAGTAGCAGTACTCTCTTCTAATTCAAGCAGTAGTCGGGTTTATGGATACCAGACAGGCGTGCCACTTTCTCACTCCCCAAAAGAAAGGAGTTTAAGATAATTTCACTTTTAACAAAATTCACATGAAAAACGGCAGACACAGATCAGATGAAAACCACTGCAGTATTGCAGACAGCTGCCAAAACAAACATGCTGAATACTCTTCAGAAATGCTATTTCAAGACAGAATGCTTTCCTATGCTTGGTTACATTCCCCTATTTATCCCTCCAATTAAGTAGAGTCACACGTGTGGAAATTCAGTTAAAAGAAAAAAAAGTGTTGTTAGGCTGAGATTTACTCCAAAAACAATATAACCTCAGGTTAGCTGATCACTCGTTTTAGTATCCAGTAATAATTACAGTATTAAGGGATAATGGTAGTCAACGACAGCATTACAGATTCTCCACTTACTTCAAGGAAAGAGTTTGATGGAAAAGGAGGGGAGTTACAATTGAAACAAACCTTGTAACTTTATAACCAGCATAAGGCTCTGAGATCCAATTTTGTTTTTAACAATAATATCTAAAACAGGAAGCACTCCACTGCACACAATCACACAAGACAAAATGCAAATATTTACGTTCATTTTGTTTTCACTGTTTACACAACGAGCAGAGCTATTCTAAAATATTTACCTTGATGTAACTATCATTCATCTCGACAGATTAGAGGACAAGAATTTGTGTCAGGCCAGATTATTTTTTACACGAGTCCTAGAGACACTAACGACATACATTATCATTCAGTAGTACAGATTCTAAAGCAATAATAATACAACGAAACATTTGAACAGCAAGTTATTCTTCAAATGTACCACTTCTGGCATTAGCAGTGCTGGAAAATGCATCACATAGATTCTCAAACTCATCTATGGACTGTTAATGGTAAACAAAGGGCTGGCTGGTCAGATGGTACTGGGACCCCTCATTTTTTAGTTTAGTTGCATTGAAAGAAAGCTGAAAAAAAATCAAGGAACACTTTCCTAGCGTTTCTCTTATAAGCAATTGCTTCAGTTGCAATGGGGATGTTGCAATGACACTTAATAGGGAAGGGAAACATTCCAAAGACAATTAAGATGCGGTCTACATGAGAAAGTTTGAATACCCACAGATTTCTAGACACCTATTAGCCACAGACCAATATCAAAGAAGAGCCATAGAAATTTAGCCTGCCTATCTGGACCCTTTCCAGAACCTTCATCTTTCAGAACCACTGACTGGAAGTATCTGTGAATCTCTCCACCTGACTACCGGAAAAATGCAGCAACACTCAGTCTCCTATCTATTTAGGGACTTGCACGGGGGGGACAAGTGTCAACTCTCCTCCTCTGATGCGTCTACAGATTAAGTTCTACAAGAAAGGGGAGACGTGCCCAACACACCAATTCCTCATCTCCACCTTCCAGCTCACCTGAAGAAGTGGGTTTTGCTCACAACAGCTCATGACACTAGACATATTTTTGTTAGTCTCTAAGGTGTTACAGGACTAATTGTTGTTTTTAAAGTTACAAGTGTCAACTCTCCTCCTCTGATGCGTCTACAGATTAAGTTCTACAAGAAAGGGGAGACGTGCCCAACACACCAATTCCTCATCTCCACCTTCCAGCTCACCTGAAGAAGTGGGTTTTGCTCACAACAGCTCATGACACTAGACATATTTTTGTTAGTCTCTAAGGTGTTACAGGACTAATTGTTGTTTTTAAAGTTACAAACTATCATGGCTACCCCTCTGAGATTCTTCCTTTCTGTAATGCCATCCCAGATTAACCTGTGTTCAGAAGGGGAGGAAGACAATAGATCTCCTTCAATTCTCTCTGCAAAAAGACATTCACACGGATCTATGTTATGCTGTAAGAGTTGTATATTAGCTACAAAAAAAGTTCACCGTCGTTTAAACAAAGAGGGCATTACACTGATCACTAGAAACACTCAATTAACTCTCCTTCAGAAAATGCAAGATTTTGATCCAAAGGAATCATATGCTTCTTCCGAGATGGAAACAAAAGTCAATAAAATTTTAACTTTAATGTAAATGAAGAAAGAAAGTTGTATAATGTTTAAAAAATACTTAATTCCACTTGCATAAATCTCAGCCCAAAATCTGAAAATGATATATGTAAGAGAGATACACAGATCAGCACAGCAGACCTTACTAATGCTGGATTACCTGAAGCATTTACAAACATGGAAAAAGACAACCCACTCTACCAGTATTAAAACTAGCCTATAATAGTTCCAGCAAATTTTCTCTAACAAATAGGTTATCAAACCATAATATTCATATACATGATCAATTAACAGAATCATTGCTATTCACCAAGTCTGGTTTATTTTCACATAATGAAACCTAGTTTCTTAATGCTGACATTTAATAGAAATCAATTCCGTGAATTTTTAAATGATTCAGACTAGACAAAAATATTATGAGGTAGAGAAAGACTTGTCGCTAAAGAGTTGCATATTCAAGTTTTTGCTGTAATGCAATAATAAACTGTAGAGGAAAAAGAAGCAATTAGAAAATGTGTCTTAGCTATCATTAATCTGCATCAAAGGAATATAATGATGCACATTGTGTGTCTTTCAAATTATTCTCTATTATGGGTTTCAGAACAGAAGTTGAGAAATCTCTTTGACAAACTAGTCCCTTATTAAAAATCAAAGGGAAGTGCTTTGGTACCATCTGTGCAACATTAGCGCCTTCACTGAAGAATGATTATTTTGCAAGTTAAGTATTCAGCACTGGAAAAAAATAGGAGAAATTCCAGCTATTCAAACACTCATCTTTAGCTATTATGAAAAATGTCACACCATACACAAAATGCAATATAATCTGTTATAGAAGGCATCCGATAGCTTCCCCTCCACACCAAATAGGAGAATCTAAATTGTGATCTATAAAGGCTTATCAGAGTTAATCTCTTTTACTGCCCACCAGCATCAACATGTGCTTAACAGGATCTGACTCACACCTGTAAAGTCTGTTTTAAAAAAAATAAAATTAAAAAAAAAAAAAAAGGAGAATTTGAAAAGCTTTCAATTTAACTATTGGTCTCAGGTAGATTGTGTTGTAAAGAATAAGATACAATTATCTATAAATTGTCAGGAAAATGTATGACAATCTCGTCCCTTGAAAGTACACTAACTGAAAATCTGGTGAAGTATTTAGAAGCTAATTTTGAAAAATATTACTGTAAATCAGGCTTCTTCATCTCTAGTATGCCATATATTATGTCCAGGGTTTGACAAGTTCTTCCTAATTACCCACCTTAATTGCAGTAATTATATACTTTCTAGAAAATGCAGGTAATAAGGTTCACTTGGAAAGGGAATTATCAAATATGGTGAAACAAAAAAGGCTTGCGAGTCTGGCGGCTGGCAGAATCATTAATTCAGAGGCGCAATTCTCTCTTCCTTCCCAGTGCAGAAGAGGACTTTTGTATTTAGGGAGAAGAAGAAGCATACCGAGAGTCTTATGATAATAAGCATCTGCAGCAACACACACAGTACTTAGGGTGAAGATGTTAGCAGTGAAAGGTTTCCACAGTTCTAGGAGACATCTTCAAAAATTAATTCTTCGTGATACACAGAGACTTCAGTACCTGTACAAATCTAGAAAACATCAAGACAAGAACACAGTGAAGGTGCAATGCTACTAGGCATACAGCATGCTTTGATACGCAGATAGAAAAGAGACGGCAGGCCCAGCAGTTGATTTTCCATTATATGTTCCTTTTTTGTGTCCTATTTGGGTATAATCAAGTCCTTAATAAGTCACAATTCCTTGTAAGGAAGGATTTTGTGAAATCTTCAATATCTGCTTAATGAGCAGCATCATAGATTCAGTGCTGGCTTAAACAAGATAAATTCTCAAGGCATTCTAATTCTGAATTTAATTACATATGAATTAAAAATTAAACCATTCCATTAACACATGTCATAACTGTATTGCCACCTGCAGGCTGTTTCTTTTAACACAATTCTAATATTAACTATTTTTTCTTTTAAGATGTGTAGATCACAGTCTTTAAAATTTAGATCTTTACAATGGTAATTTGTTCTCCATATCTGGGGTATTGAAAGAGGTCGCTAAAGAGAAGGCACTTGGTTTGAGAGAGCGCGCGGAACACAAATCCAACAGATCAAAGTTCTCCACTTTCATCTCCATATTACCAACCAGTCAGAGCACTCCTAGCACAGCCCAGGGCTTGCACCCCAGAACGGTTCACTCACACTGTTCACTGACGGCTGGCGAGCAGCAACTGGGCATAGCCCACAAGCGGGAGAGAGATGGGCAGCAGAAGAGAGAGCTGGTCCATGGGCTGGGGAATGTGGTAGCCACGGGAGCCAATACGCAGCATGTAGCTGCTAGGAAATTTGGGGCAACTTGCCCCAAATTTCATGATGCCCTAGCAGCTGCAGAGTTTGTGCATCAGTAAGGATGGCTCTGCAGCCACTTGTACTTAAAGGCAGCAGAAGTCTGTAGAGATCTGATTACTTTGTTTTCTTGTCTACTATACCGGGGTAGGCAATTTTTGATGGGGACACCCCACTCCTAGAATTTGTTCAATGATCAAGGGCTGCACTTTTCTGATATTAATAGAGGGGTGCGGGTGTGACAGATTTTTGTTACCAAACTGCCCGAGGTGTCAAATGATCAGGCTGAAGCCACAGGATTGTTAAGGGAGGAGATGACGGAACACACCAAGTGTCTACATTTTAAAGCTTTATTGATAAAATAATAAAACAACAGCGGAGAGCGATGGGTGCTTCCCACGTCACTCAGGGGAAGGAAGAAAGCGTTAGTGCCCAAAGCCCTAATCCACTTTCATTCTCTCTCTCTCTCACACACACACACACACACACACACACACACACACACACACACACACACACACACCCACCCCCCCTGAGGCTGGCCAGGCCTGGGTGTAACAACAGAAGGGGAAGGGTGGACAGGAGTTCGGTTCTGTGCGCACAGGTCGTCCAGGGTCCGCTGTGATCTCTCCGAATTGCTCCAGCTCTCAGGAGGGTTTTAAGGCCTGGGCTCCTTTGGGGTGTTCCATTCCGCGACCTCGGATTCTGGTGCTTTTTGTGACAACCAAACTGGCTTTCTGTGGTCTCCTTGACTTTCCCAAAATACACCAGCTAGACACTGTTGTTCTCTTTGCTTTCCTCCGTGCTGGCCTTCGCTTTTCTTGCTTGTTATGGGCTGGCTCTGCAGATTTGTTCTGTTGAATCTGTCTCTCTTATGGCTGGTCGGTGGATTCCCAGCCACCCCCTTTCTTGGCCGACAGCCAGAGTCAAATGTGTGCTGTGGCCTTCAACTGGCTAGAGCCAGTGTCTTATCTTTGGGCCTAGCAGGAGTGGAGTTAACCCATTCTCTGCTTTCTTTGTCTCCCCCCTCCCCCCACTTGGCCTCGCATGACCTGCAAAGGAATCCTTCATTCATTCCACACTCATACCTTTGACCCTTCCCAAAATGCCCTGAAATGCTTGCAACAGCGTAAGCAATATACAACGCTGACCTGCCTCCCCAGAGGAACCCCTTGAGGGAGGGGGCCATTGGGGTGTGACACGGGATGTGGGACACAAGTTGGATACAGGCGAGAGTGCCGGGCAGAGGATTGGCGTTCCGGAGGGGAGTGGCCTGGTAGGTGGTTTGGATGCAGGAGAGGATTCTCACCTGGATGAGATACATAGGAGGGATTGCAGGGTCAGAGAGGAAGTTGCAACCAGAGACCCGGCTTATGACCTGGCTGTAGCCTATACGGCTTATCTGCTTGCTTGTCTATAGATATATTTTCTTATAGATTTCTAATTTACTTATGGTTCGATGACATGATTATTATAATAGGTTACAAAAGGTTTATAAAGGTAGTTTGGCTGTAACGCAAGGCACCTATGGGCCACATCTTGTATGCTCAGCTAAGGAAAAATAAGCATACATATGTCTGGGACCTTTCACCTAGATCAGGGGTGGGGAACCTAAGGCCTGCGAGCTGGATGTGGCCCCTTGGTTACCAGGATCTGGCCCTTAAGGCTTCAGGCCTCCCCCAGCATTGGGGGGGCCCATGCTGGTGCTCCAGCCCTGGCCCCCCACAGCCCCCAACCCAAAAGATTCCCCAGTCCTGACCAAGATAGAAAACAATAAGATAACCTTTAATGGTATAGGGACCTTCCAAGCATACCCTCAAACTTAACAGGTGCACCAAAATATTTTGGAAAAAACCCAAAATAACCAGTTCAGACTAGAACTCATTTTTTGAGGTTTATAAGATCTTCCGAAAAAGCCTTCCCTTTTCGAAAGAACTGAGTCTAGACCGCGGCTTTATTTTCGAAAGAGCACTTTTTCGAAAGCACACCATGACGCGATTATGCAAATGAAGCACGGGAAATTCAAATCCCGGCTTCATTTGCAATTTCAAAGTGCCTAATTTACATCCCTCTGTCAAAAGAGGAATGTAGTCTAAGCACACCCTAAGGGTATGTCTACACTACCACCCTAGTTCGAACTAGGGTGGTAATGTAGTCAACCGGAGTTGCAAATGAAGCCCGGGATTTGAATTTCCCGGCTTCATTTGCATGTTGCCGGGCGCCGCCACGAGGAGTACAGGTAGTTCGGAATAGGAAGCCTTGTCCGAACTACCTAGTTCGTGCCGCGTGTAGCCACGGGCACGGAGTCCAAACTAGCGGACATTTAAAAATGGCGGCGCCCGGCAACATGCAAATGAAGCACGGGAAATTCAAATCCCGGGCTTCATTTGCAACTCCGGTTGACTACATTACCACCCTAGTTCGAACTAGGGTGATAGTGTAGACATACCCTAACTGACTAGTCATAAAACCGCATCAATTTTAGCAGTTACACGACTTTGATGGTCCCCAAGGCGGAGCCAGAAGCCTGTGTGCTCTCAACCCCACGCGCGGGGTGGCAGGCTGGGAGCAGATCCACAAGAGGAGCCGCGGACAGAGGCTGCTCCATGGATTGCCAGAGCCAATCACCATATCACGTTATAATTTAGCGCACTCTGGCTACAGTAGTACTGAAAACTTGCTTATAAAAATACTGCAGTAATAAAAAAAAAATCAAATTAGACAAAATAAAGCTCAAGTTTCTCAAGGCTGAATGCATCAAATAATTTCAAGAAAATATTTCACCTGTTTCGGATTTCCAATGCACTGCATGAACCTTATTCTAAAATACATTTTATTCCATTCCATTGTTCTTGCAATTAAAGCCACCATAGAGGGAAACGTCACCTTAAACCAAAATAACCTCATGCATGATTTTCTCCATTCACGTTGACATTTGGAGTACCATTAAAGTTCATTTGATAACCATAAAATGTTGCTTCTCAGCTTTGACTATTATTCTTCAACACTGTATAGAAAAGCCTGAAGCCAGTCACCTCAAAAGCCCTCCCTTCTCATTATACTCTTAAAGAGCTTCACCACACTTAAAATATTTTCCCTAAAATCTATTAAACTGTTATCCACTTTTTCTCTCACTCGTGGCTTTTGATTTCCCAGAGATTTCAGCTATAAGAGACAAACTCTTTATTTACTATCAGACATGCCCTTTAACCTCACTGCTTCAGTGATATCATAATTCAGTGTTTTCATGTAAAAAAAAAAAAAAAAAAAAAAAAAAAAAAAAAAAAAAAAAAAAGAACTACCATGGCAGTGATTGTGATGTGAACCATTTGACAGAATCAGGTTGATAAAGGAAATCTTCTATTTAAATGAATACTGGAAATAAGCAATGAGGAAAAAAGTACCTGATCTGTATCTGACAGTAAAATGAGTGTTTTCTCAAATGTGATAACTACTCAAGAGGCTCGCCTACAATCCCTGTCTCACTCTTCTCTTCTTTGTCAATCACCCAAAAGTTTGGTAAGAAAACAATCCACGAGAAATCCCCAATCAGCAACTCTGTAGTTTCATAGCACAGTCACTTCCACAATTGTCAGAAATGACAGATTTCCACAACAGAGAAGAGAGAAGAGATATGCTTATGTCAGTCTGGATTCTGACAATCCAAGAGAATTGAGACTTGTCTCCCTCCTCATCATAAAGCAGAAAGTAAAAGATTTCACATGCATAACAACCTAATAGCAAATTCCATAAAAGGCAGCAACCATGAGAGGGTAGTCGGTGAAAAGAAACCTGTTCCAGCAATGAGATCACCATATTTACGTCTCACTGAAGAATTGTGCCTTAACTTTACACTCACTCAAAAATGCAGAGTATAAGCCATGACAATGTTCACCACTTTCCTACTTGGAATTCACGGGTGTCATGTGACCTGGGAATGTTGCATACATTTGCTAAATTTAGATTTAGACAGATACTAATTGTGGACTAATACAATTCTAGACTTTTTCCTCTTTCTTTAATGGGGCTTTAGGTCGATCTGAAGGAGATAAACCCAGCAAGCGTTCTGTTCAAATGTAGATTTTCCAAATACAATTGGATATAAACTTTCAGTATCTTGAAAAGATACTTTTCTTATCCTTTAAAAGCATCTGAAATTGACGCTAATGTGAACAGGGAGCACAATACGGGACGACTGAGTTCTTGTCTTACCTGAGGAGTCCTTGCCCAGGAAATGTCTCAGTTTGCTGCACAGCTGGATCATGTTGTCTAGCTGCCTGTTGATTTGCACATCTTGGACCCAGGCTGGAGTGTGACACACTGGACATTCTGCACCAATACAGTCACCCACGCAAGATCTGAAAATCAAGCGTGTATAAACACAAGTCATTCAACACAGGTAAGCTGGCACATCCACAGCAGCATGCACCTGTTAGCAGTTGATAGGCAAGACCTGTTATTTTAAAACCAAAAAGCAAACAATGCAAAAAGTACAAGAACTTCCTGCAATTCATTTACCACTGCAGAAGAGAAAAATCTAATATTTGGCCAACTACAGGTCAGAATTAAACACGCCAAGTCCAAAAGTCATATCAGGAAGCTGTGTCATCAAAAATGTTCAATATAAACTTTTAAATCTTACCCGCCCATGTAGATCAAAATTGAAAACATTCCAGTCGTCTACTTCTACTCATTGTCTCTGTTAACAGGGAATTATGTCTTTGAGTTGCTTAACTCTAGGTTCTCTTGTCCCCTCAACTACATAGTACTGTTTTCCAACAACATTCCTTTTTACAAGTTAGATAGAAAATTCAATCTATAGTAATCTATCACTTTCACCCGTCTGTTGTTAAAACTATCTTGATACTGTTGTTACACCCTCTCAACGTTTCTCAGTAAGAAGTCCCCCGGGAATCCATGGGTGTCAGAGTTATTTTAGCTTTTTTTTTTCAGAACGTTTACCTCTGAATAGCATAAGGAGAAACAAGTTTGGTTAGTAAAGGTCATTTCAACCCAAAGTTGCAGCCTCCCAGTACAACTTTTCCTCCTCCTTCCATATAATTATATTTAAAGAAACCTTCTACTCCTGTGATTATTATAGCAAAAAGACTTTAGGGTCCACCACACAAGTGATCATGTGGGATTCTCATAAGCTCCCCCTAGCTAGTACTCAGGGGGAGGGATAACTCAGTAGTTTGAGCATTGGCCTGCTAAACCCAGGGTTGTGAGTTCAATCCTTGAGGGAGCCATTTAGGGATCTGGGGCAAATCTGTCCAGGATGGTACTTGGTCCTGCCATGAGGGCAGGGGACTGGACTGCATGACCTCTCAAGATCCCTTCCAGCTGTATGAGATAGGCATAAGCATATTCATATCAAGTCTCCAAGTACACCTTCAATGGAAGCAGTTAGGCCAACATTGAGGGGCTATGAAATGTTCTTAAACATCTGGACATCTCCTAAAACCACTACACTAACATGTGCTGCACTGTTAATTTCTAAGAGGGAGATTTTCTCAAAAGGAGGGAGATATTTCAAACTCTTCCCACATGACATTTACATTGTTGAGAGGACAAGTAGTCTTGCAGTTAAGACATGGGATTGATACAAAGGAGATTTAAGTTCAATTTTTGGTTCAGATAAGCTCTTTATATGACTTTAGGCAAGACACTTATGGCCACATTTTTAAAACAGCTCATTACCCAGCTGATACTGTTCTTAGCAGGTGCTGCCAGGTGCTGAGTATTTTGGAAGTAAAGATGTTCATCTCTTTTTGCCTCCAACTATTATCGCTTGTCACAAGTGAGGATCTTTCTTCAGCTGTGCATCTTAACTTATATATTTATTTAGGTTCCAAACAGTTCAGGGGCTGTCAATCTGTATCTGTACAGTCCCACATATATTCCACTTCCTTGATGCATAGCTTCCATTCGCTGTAGTTAACTTACTGAAATTAATTTGGATCAGATCATATTATAGGGATTGATTTCCATCAATAAAACACCACAGCCCATAAAAAACACTCCAACACATGACCCAGTTATTGCAGGCCACTTGTTTTCACACATTTATATTTACACATCATAGTCATCCGTCCATACCCCACTCCTTTCAGAATATGAATACTTGTTTATTTGATGGTGGACTAGAATAATCTCGTGTCTGACTACTGCAAATTTGACCTGACCTCTTGCATGCTTGTCTGGAAAAACTACATTTGACTAGTTAATCCACCATTTAAAGTTCAATGAAATAAATATCTATTATGCAGGATTAAACCACCAAAGGAATGATGATCAAAAGGTACAAACAAACAATAAACTAGTTCACCACCAAACAAATAAGCAACCACGATACAGTTGTTTGGATTATATTGATAATACAAACTATTTGCTTTCTAGACCTGGAGAAAAAAGCAGCTTTTGTCAAAAGCTACAGTGCCTGTTTGTTGTTCCTCCTGACCTCCCCACAGATTACAGCATCTTTGATGTTGTGAAAGCTTTTCTTTAAAAAAAAGATCTTACTTCGATAATGTCTGAGTATCTCAGATTTGTTCTCTAAACTACAGAGCCCGAAACTAAATTACTACATTTTAGATGTCTGAGAGTCATTTAATTCATCTAAAGATTTCTAGCACTAGTAAAAATAGATCATTAGATAGTACTTGTCAAAACTGTTAGTGTTAATTGATATATCCTACATAGTAACGTCTCTTGACCAAGCCTAAATCAGAGGATTATTTTGCAGAGCATCAAATTCTATGTGATAAGATGGTATAAAAGGAACACGGAAAAAGGATTTCAATAGAGCTTGTGAAACAGTGAGAGGTTCCACAGAAGTCCTAGCCCATATCTACCAGAGGAACAGACACAGCAGTGAAAGTAGGCCCCTTAGGCTATGTCTAGACTGCACTGTTAAATCGGAAAAAGAGACGCAATGTGTACGCAAATTGCATCTCTTTCTGATTTACTTTCGAAAGAGGCTTTTTTGATATTTGGCGCGTCTACATGGCGCCAGTTTGCGAAAGGAAATGCTCTTTCGAGCCATCCCTTATTCCTCACAGAACGAGATTTACACGGATGGCAAAAGAGCGTCCACTTTTTCGAAAAATTTTCAGAAAAAACAGACACGTTCCTTAGATGCAGCGTTGCTTTTCCAGGATACCGGAGGTATCCTGAAAAAGCAATGCAATCTAGACGTAGCCTTAGAGACCTTTGCAACAGATTTAAAAAATATTGCCTGAAGCTCTATTTAGTGTATAATTGCTGTCCGTTAACTTACTAGCCCTAAAGAATCAGAAAATGCCTCTGGCTACCATTTCCCCCTCAAGCCCCATAAGGGTATGGCTGCGATAAAACATCTGCTGCACAGACACGGCTGACCTACATCAGCTGACTTAGGCTCACAGGGCTATAAAATTGCAGAGTAGTTGCTCAAGCCTGTTGTGTATGCAGCTTTGTACTGCAGATCAAATGCTGGCTGGTAAGAAATTCAACTGTGCTCTATAAGGCATGACACTAGCGTCTGAGGATCTGAGTGCCCTGAAACTTTATTCACTTGTTAAACAGCATTCACCAAGGAGGTACTCTTGCAGTTCCAGCATATATCAGGGAAATAGTAGCAAACACTCAAAAGGGGGTTGAGTCTGAAGATACTGAGTCCTTACAACGTATTATTAAAGAGTCTCATACTACTGTAACAGCATATGCTACAGCTACTAGGTAGCAGTGCTGTATGACCAGAGCAAGAAAGAAAGAGAGACTCACGAAGATCTGACGCGCTTGCACCTCCATCTAGCAATCAAAAAGGATGAGTCACTGGCCATACTTTTGCCATGTGAGGACAGTTTTGATGAGCATGTCAAAGTGGCCTCTTGGCAAAGCAAGATCTGGACATCTATGCAACAGAGGTAAATCAGACACTGGATCACCATTGCAAGATAGATTGAAAAAAGTGGATAATGAACTATTTCCCCTTTTCTTCAAGAGTCCAGTGGCATCTAAGCTTCCAGAAGACCTTATTGGTGTCTGTAACAGTATGGGTCACTGCACAATCAACTGTATCTGCAGTCAGAACAATCTCCCCTACGCAGAACTATGTACGTGTCAAGGCAAGAAAGACTGTGGCAACTCCCACATTGACCAAGATAATAATGATGAACAAAATAACAAAAGTGACCAGAAATGTCATCAGCACGATTATACTTTAATGATATCTGTGCAAATTTATTATCAGATTTTTTTGACGTTGGGATCACTGTTATGATGCTGTGAGTTCACAGATATTCAATCCTGAATCTTTAAACCAACAGAAATGAATGTAAATATTTAAACTAGGGGTGTAGAAGTAGAACCGTTTCAACGGTTAACTGATAAGCCTGAGCTCACCAGTTACTGGTCACGGTTATATGCAGGCTCCTGCCTCATATAGGGGTTTGGAATGGGTCCCATATGAGGAGAGATTAAAGAGACTAGGACTTTTCAGCTTGGAAAAGAGGAGACTAAGGGGGGATATGACAGAGGGCTATAACATCATGAGTGGTGTAGAGAACGTGAATAAGCAAAAGTTATTTACTTGTTCCCATAATATAAGAACTAGGGAGCCGCCAAATGAAGCAAATGGGCAGCAGGTTTAAAACAAATAAAAGGAAGTTCTTCACACAGCACATAGTTAATCTGTGGAACTCCTAGCCTGAGGAGGTTGTGATGGCTAGGACTATAACAGGGTTTAAAAGAGAACTAGATACATTCATGGAGGTTAAGTCCACTAATACCTATTAGCCGGGATAGGTAAGGAATGGTGTCCCTAGCTTCTGTTTGTCAGAGGGTGGAGATGGATGGCAGGAGAGAGATTGCTTGATCATTACCTGTTCAGTTCACTCCCTCAGAGACATCTGGCATTAGTCACTGTTGACAGACAGGGTTCTGGGCTGGATGGACCTTTGGTCTGACCCAGTATAGCCGTTCTTATTTCTAGGGAGCCAACTGCTACCCCGCGCGGTCGTCTCTGTATCTGAGGCAGCAGTGTGGGGCGGCAGCCAGTTCCCCAATGGCAAGGCCAACGGGCCAGAGCTAGTGCACGCTGGCAGCCGGCTTAAAAGCCAGCTCCTGGCATGTACCCTGCGCTGCAAGTGCGTATACCCATGTAACCGTTGAGACTTTCAGCGGTTACAAGGCTACACAATTACTCATTTTTCAACTCCCCTGATTTAAATGGGTTGTTGGCGTCATTGTTTATCCCCATTTCTATGGTAACAGCACCACGACAGATCCACATCATAAAATACACATAATTAGCTTTCAAATGATGTATGATCTACCTACGTGCAGAGAGGATAAATTAAGTAGAACAAATTGGCGGTGTAGGACATCTTCCTAGTACACTGAAACGGAGAACTCCACATGAGGAGATTACATTGATAACATAACCTTCATGGGCACAGTGTCTGAGGTGAAATGCAAATTGTCTCACAACTGGCATTAAGTAAATTGTGAAGCTACTTTGCATATCTTCCTACCTCTAACTGAACCAGCATGCTCCCTGGGAATTTCTACACAGTGAAAATAGAAAGAGTTCCCCTCCCTTCCCTGAATAACAACCAACCTGCTGCTCTGGATACGTGAAACCTTGTGTTTGTTTTTGGTACACCAATAAAACCTATGAATGCTTCTGCCTGTCTAATATGTACCTTGTTCTCTCTGATGAGGGTATAACAGTGTAGGCAAATGGTTGACTCTTTCTAGACTAATTCCTGTAGCTGAAAGGATCCCCTTGATATTCTTAGCAATACAATTCAAATAAAGATCATTTTAGCCCTACAGTTCAGAGAATAGCTCAATAATCTGTGAACGAAAAATCTAAATAGACAGACAATGCTAAAATCTCCATGCAGACATACCTCTGCTTCCACCTAGACGCCTTCTAAAGCCAAAAGGGGCTCTACATGGGCAGACTGCTGGGGAACTAAGGCCTTAATTACAAGATTTGTGATTTCTTGTGCAGATCTAAGCAGGCAGAGTGAATGGTTCCTTTAATTTTAGGTTATTTTAATATTTACACATGTAAGGTTTCCCTGTTGTATTGTTCCCCAAGCCCTTTCCTATCCCGCCTAGGCCAGACTATAAGAATGAGAGCACGAATTTCAAATACTATTCTTTTTAAAAACTGTTCAGCTTTTTCTTTTGATCTGTCTCCAAACCAGTTCTAGAACCAGTAAGTAGAACAGTCTCATTGATGTCAAATGAACTGCTCAGATATGTAAAGTTAAGGGTATTTTGCACATCTAGAACCCTACCAAATTCACCATTCATTCCAGTCAGTTTCACAGCCAGAAGGTTTCAAAAATTGGTCAATTTCATGATAGCAGATCACAATGTTATAACTGTGAAGGTACTGACCCAAAATGGGATCATGAGAGGGGAGGAAGAAGGAAGTGTTGCTAAGCTGTTGTAGGAGATTAGCACCTTTCTAAAATCCTGCAGATAGAGGAGGTTTCTGGAGGTGAAAAGGAGGATTTCCCCCCACGCTGTTGTGAGTACCTCAGCCAGGGATTCCTAGCTGCTAGTTTTGCCAACAACAGATAAAGGGAGGGGCCCCTCCAGGAAAAATGGATGCACCAGCCCTGGAACAAGTCCCAGGGCAGAAACTCCTAGGGGGTCACCCAAGCCCTGGCAAGTTCCACAGGGGAAGCAGCCCAGTGTCTGGATTGCCCCAAGTCACAGCTGGAGATGCAAAGTAGCAGAGAGCCCTGCACCCAGGCTGCCCCAGCTAGGGCATTAGTGGGGGGAGCAACTCTGGGCCTGGGCTGCCCCAAGCTCAGCTGGAATGGGGGAGAGGAACAGAAGCCCTGAGCCTAGGCTGCTGTGACTGCAGCAAAGAGTGAGAGGAGGTTTAGGGTGTACCATCCCCATTCCTGCACTGCCTCTGGATGTGGGTCCGATCTGCCCATCAAAAGCAATGATGCAGGGGAAGGACAACTCCTGTCCCACCACAGCTGGAATAGCAACTCCTGCCAGCTGAGGAGATCAGATTTCATGGGGGAGGGAAGGAGAGGAAGCTGATTTCATGATCTGTGACATTTTTCAGACATGAAATTGTTAGGGCCCTACACCTAACTGTTTGCAGGACTAGGGACCTGTTCTTTACAGTTATTATATATAAAGCAAATAAAGTACTTACAGACAGAAGACATGCTCACATTTTCCTAAGGACACAGGTTCCTTGAGGATCTTAATGCTATTCAGAAAAGAAGAGAAGCATTAATTATTAAAAAAGTCCAACTCCTAGAACACCAAAGAACCAATTAGTTTGAAGGCACCTGTACTTCTGCCTGTAGTTTAAACATGATGGCTAATAAGCCTCTAGCATGGTTTTCCTGAGGACTTGGAGATATTCTATTTGAGAACAGTTCTACAAATCAGGCTACTGAATAAACAGAGTTCCGTACAGAACAGCTAGCATGGTTCGCTGATGAACTCTCTCCTTCCACAATAAGGGAAATCTTGGTAGAACCCTAGTAGCAACAGCGGCTTGAGACCACTAACAGCTGCCATGGTTCTGGCTCCAATGTAGACGCATTTACTGACAATCAGCTTCCTCAGGCGCCATCCAGCCAGCAGCACAAGCAAGCTGGCACCAACTATTTTCCAAAACAAGTAAATCCAGATCTGCGTCCCTCCATGTGCACGGCTCACTGTTCACCCCTCCAGAGAGGTACCCTACAGCCCACTGGCACAGGGGCAGAGGGCTGGGAAATCCAAGGCCATTTTTCGAGCAGCTTTCCAAGAGAAGTAGAAAATGGGCATCAGCTCCCTTTGGAAGAGAGTCTCCGCTCCCCTGAGGAAGCGGGTCGTGCCCGCAAAGACTCGCGAGACTCCAGCTATATCAGTTTTCTCCAACCTATGGGTCAGGACCCAAATATGGGTCGCCATTACACTTCAAACAGGTCACCAAGTGTCTCCCCCATGACCGTGCCCCTTCTCCTCCCCAGGTTTTTGAATTGCCTTGGGTCACCAAGTCTTCCTGAATTGTCAAAATGGGTCCCGGCAGGAGGGGGGGGCCGGAAGTGGGAGGTTGGGAACAGCTGCTCTACACGTATGGGTCAGCCCGGCACCAGGACAGGGCTACGATCCCGGGGGGCACTGGCATTGGAAACAAGCGATGCCCGACCCGAGCCCCCCCACCCCCAGCAGAGGGGGCAGTTTCAGCGCGCTGAAGAGGTCTGGTCGGGGTCACTGCAGGGCAGAGCCAGCCCGGTTGGGGGACGGGAGGGAGCCGCCCCG